CATCTTGAAGGAGGTGGAATTTTCAGATTCTTTTTGTATGGTCTGTCAAGGCTTTAATGGTGCTTCTTTTTTGACTTGGGTGATGGTTGGAGTTTTTATGTTTAAAATATCTTTGCTTATACAGTTTGGAAGTTATTCCTCTGCTTTCCACATTTTGCAGCCAGAACTAACATGCACAGTTAGTTGCATGGTTAATTTTAATGGCAGATTTTGACATTTCCTGATGCAGAATTTGCAACTCATTTCAAGTCTTTGATCAGTCAGGCATGGCGAAATGAAGTGGCTAAGGTGTGGTGTTTATTCCCAACAGGCTTTGCATACTTAGGCATAGCTAACATTGATGGAAATACAACAAATCAGAGGCCTATATCCAACTGTGAATTTCAGTTAGAGTAGTCTCTTGACTTGATGAAAACTCAGTGGTGGGAGCTGGTGAATTTCATATTGGTTCTGAAACAAATTTGCTCTAAACTTTAGTCTGAACTTTAAAAGAGCTCTTCAAGGTGCTGAATAACTTATTTATTTGACTATTTTACCAGGTCTTTTATTGTGCTTTCATTGTGCATTGCGGACAAGGCAATAAACACTTTAAAACAATTTCACAGAATCATAGAATCATAGAGTTGGAGGAGACCTTGTGGGCCATCCAGTCCAATCCCCTGGCAACAAGCAGGAAAATTGCATTCAAAATACCCCTGACAGATGGCCATCCAGTCTCTGCTTAAAAGCATTCAAAGAAGGAGCCTCCACTACATTCTGGAGCAAAGAGTTCCACTGCTGAACAGCTCACACAGTTAGGTAGTTTTTCCTACTGTTCAGGTGGAATCTCTTTTCCTGTACTTTGAAGCCATTGTTCCATGTCCTAGTCTCTAAGGTAGCAGAAAACAAGCCTGCTTCCTCCTCCCTATGACTTCCCTTCACATACATAAATACATGGTTACCATGTCTCCTCTCAGCCTTCTCTTCTGCAGGCTAAACATGCCCAACTATTTAAGGTGATTCTCATAGGGCTTGTTCTCCAGACAATTGATCAATTTACTCACCCTCCTCTGCACACATTCCAGCCTGTCAACGTCTCCTTTCAATTGTGGTGCCCAGAATTAGACACAGTATTCCAGGTGTGGTCTGACAAAGGCAGAATCGAGGGGCAGCATGACTTCCCCGGATCTCTAGACACTATATTATACATAATTTAATAAGCAAAATAAAACAAGTTGGATAAAAGTATGCAAAACATAACAAGTTAATGTAGTTTAAGGGGCTTGAATGTTTAAAAACCATTAACTTTTAAAGGTTATATTTTTTAAAAGAGGTTTGGAAGGTTTAATGCTGGGAGGAGGTCAATGTTGATGCCAACTGTACCTCCAAGGAGAGGGCACTCATCAACTGGGGTGCAACAGCCTCCCAAATTACATTGCCCCCTTTGAAGGTCCCAAGAGAGGGGTCAGTGCAGCTCCCAGTCCCTAGGTATATCTGCACTGTACAATGGATACAGTTTAGCAGCACTTTAACTGCTATGGGTCAGTGCTATGGAATCATGAGAGTTGTGGTTCAGTCAGGCACCAGCATGCTTTGACAGAGAAGGATAAAGATCTTATAAAACTACAACCCCCATGATTCCATAGCATTGAGCCATGGCAGTTGAAATGCTGTCAGTCTGCATCCGTTTTACAGTGTAGATGCAGCCCATGACTAGGTAGATCTATAGCAGGTGTGGGCAAACCTTGGCCCTCCAGGTGTTTTGGCTTTCAACTCCTACAACTGTTAGGAATTGTGGGAGTTGAAGTCCAAAACACTTGGGGGTGGAGCAAGGTTTGTCCATGCTTGATCTATAGTGAGAAGCACTCCTTTAAGCATTGAGTGGTCAGCACCATGGATAGCTCCCTGGAGCCGATTGACCAGCTGCCAGATGATCTACATCAGGCATGAGCAAACTTGTTAACTTGGGGGCTGCATGGTGGGCTAGAGTGGGATGGGCAGGCCAGGAGGAAGGGGGTTCTACCCAAACCTCCTCCCTACCCTTTCCTCCCCTTCCTCTTCTCTTTCAGAGGCAGAAAGTGAAGGAAAGATAGGAAACATTTGGATCCCAAAAGGGTTAGTCTTTGTCAGGATGAGATAGTGGACAGAAGAGAAAAGGTGTATCCATTAGACCCTGTATTGCCTACTCCTGGTATAGAATTGTAGAATTCTAGAGCTGGAAGAGATCCCCAAGGGCCATCCAGTCTAACCCCCTGCCATGCAGGGAGGCACAATCAAAGCACTCTGGTTTCCAGGTGGCATTGGTTTCCAGGTGGAAGGTGGTCCCAGTCGGGGTTGGCTTGATGCGCCTTCCTCTTGGCACATTTCTCTCTTGCGCCCTCCATTCATGCCTCTTCAAATTCTACAGTACTGTTGGTCACAGCTGACCTCCAGCTGGAGCGCGCAAGGGCCAGGGCTTCCCAGTTCTCGGTGTCTATGCCAGAGTTTTTAAGGTTGTCTTTGAGCCCATCTTTAAACCTCTTTTCCTGTCCTCCAACATTCCGTTTTCTGTTCTTGAGTTTGGAGTACAGCAATTGCTTTGGGAGATGGTGGTCAGGCATTTGGACAACGTGGCTGGTCTAGCGGAGTTGATGGCGGAGGACCATCACTTCAGTGCTGGTGGTCTTTGCTTCTTCCAGCATGCAAGAACATAGGGTTGGTTCATCATGTGCTCTGTAATGGCTAACTCCTCTGGTTGAAGTAGTCTAGAAGATGCAAATGATTTATGTCTTTTACATTATATGTTAATGTTTTTGAATGTTTTAAATGTTTTTATTGTGTCTTATTGATCTTGTTATGGTTTTATATTATATATTAATGTTTTTTATATGTTAATGTTTTTGAATGTTTTAAATGTTTTTATTGTGTCTTATTGATCTTGTTATGGTTTTATATTATATGTTAATGTTTTTAAAAGTATTTTAAATGTTTTTATGGTGTCCTATTGATCTTTTTATGGTTTTATATTATATGTTAATGTTTTTAAAATGTTTAAAATGTTTTTATGGTGCTCTTGGGCATTGAATTGTTGGCTCCATAAACCGCCTTTCGGGCTGAGAAGGGTGGTATACAAATATAGTAAATCTATATAAATAAAAATGTAATGTTCATTTGTGGGATTAACAGAACTCAAAAACCAGTGGGCAAATTGACACCAAATTTGGACAGCACACACCTTCACTCAAAAAAAATGATTTTGTCATTTGGGAGTTGTAGTTGCTGGGATTTATAGTTCACTTACAATCAAAAAGCATTCTGAACTTCACCAACGATGGAATTCAACCAAACCTGGCACACAGTTCCCCCATGATCTACAGAAAATACTGGAAGGGTTTGGTGGGCAGTGTCCTTTGGTTTTGGAGTTGTAGTTCACCTACATCCAGAGACAGGGCCATAGCCAGAAATTTTTTTTGGGAAGGGTTGAAAATTTCGGGGAGGGTTGAAAATTTCGGGGGGGGGGGGGCAACCTTCAATAGCCTGCAGCTCTGCCCCTGTCAACCACCTCCACCAAGTCTGGCCTCCTTAATGAGAGCATTCACCCCCCCCCCCAACTTGGTTGCTTTACTACATCGGCTATTGCTGCAAGTAACGACAGTGTGAATAAATTGTCAATATTTGCTTGAGATAGTGCTTGCAGTTCTGGAGGCAGGCCCGTAGCCAGGATTTCGTTTCGGGGGGTGTGTGTGAATTTTTTTCAGGGGGGGTTTCGAGGGGGGCTGAGTTTCGGGGGGGCTGAGTCTGAGTGAAAGAGGGTCTAGCCTAGCAAACCTTTTGTATCATTACCCCAATACCCCCATGCATATGGGATATATTGAGTATGGTGATCAGATCATGATATGAATAAACATAACAGTTTAAATAATGCACCAGTAAGGCCTTTTCGCGAACCACCATGAGAATTTGGGGGGGGGGGGGCTGAAGCCCCCCAAGCCCCCCCCCCCCCCCCGCTTGCAGTTCTGGAGGGACTCTTAATTTTTTGCATCTAATAGACTTAGCATGGGGATTTGGTTAACCAGTTAAAATTCATGAGTAAACCAGGGTTTTTTTAACCTGAAAAATTTGAGGGTTCCCCCCCCCCCCCCCCAGCTACAGGCCTGTCCAGAGATCACTGTGGACTCAAACAATGATGGATCTGGACCAAACTCAATATGCCCAAATGTGAACATTGGTGAACTTTGGGGAAAATTGAATATTGACATTTGGGAGTTGTAGTTGCTGGGATTTATAGTTCACCTACAATCACAGAGCATTCTGAACCCCACCAACGATAGAATTGGGCCAAACCTCCCGCACAGAACCCCCATGTGGGCCACAGCAAAGCGTGGCAGGGGACAGCTAGTAAATAAAATAAATGAATAGTCTGCAGTGCTAGGTTCTTGTGGGTTTTTTCGGGCTATAGAGCTATGTTCTAGAGGCATTCTCTCCTGACGTTTCGCCTGCATCTATGGCAAGCATCCTCAGAGGTAGTGAGGTCTGTTGGAAATAGGACAATGGGTTTATATATCTGTGGAATGGCTGGGGTGGGGCAAAGAGCTCTTCTCTGCAGGAGCTAGGTGTGAATGTTTCAACTGACCACCTTCATTAGCATTTGAAGGCCTGGCTGAGCCTGGGAAAATCTCTTGCTGAGAGGTGTTAAGATGTGCCTGGTTGTTTCCTCTCTGTTGTTTTGCTGTTGTAATTTTAGAGTTTTTTAATACTGGTAGCCAGATTTTGTTCATTTTCATGGTCTCTTCCTTTCTGTTGAAATTGTCCACATGCTTGTGGATTTCAATGGCTTTTCTACAGTGCCTTTATTTCAGAGGAAGGAACCGGTACTCCTTGCCTAAGACAACCTTGTGGGATTCAGTGGGGGCCCGAGAGGTTCTGCCCTCCCGCGACTTAATTGTGGGCGGGGCCAGGACATGGAGAGCCCTCTGATTGGCTCCACTGGGGGCTTTAAAAGGACCAGGAGGCGGCTGCTGCCTTGAATGGGAGGCGGGGCTGGGTGTCCGCCTGTTGCTCCCGCGGAAGAGGAGGCGGAGGCAGCGCCGCGTGGGAGCCTAGAAAGCGGGCACCGGGTCTCCCTGCTCTCCAGTTGCCGCAGGAGCAGCAGCGGAGCCTGCCTTGGTCTCCCTCCTCTGCCTCTTTGGCTCAGCCCTCCCTGTGCGGATGCTCCGTGCCCGAAGCGGAACAGCACTCCCCAAATTCGATGCCAGTCCCTTCTCGGCCAACCTGGCCCCGGGCGCTGAACTTCTCGCCCCGCTCCGTCCTCTTCTTCGGCTCCCGAGATGAGTCCCGTCGGAGCGTGGCTTCTGTGGATCGCCTGTAGCCTGGTGGCCGGGGGGCCACTTCACCCCGGCATGTAAGTATGGAAAAGGAGGGTCCCCAAGACTAGGATCTGTTCTGTAGGGGCTTCTCAAGAAATTGACGGGGAGGAAAGAGAATACGTATTGTCGCAGACTTTCACTGGCTTGCTGTGGGTTTTCCGGGTTGTACGGCCATGTTCCAGAAGCATTCTCTCCTGACGTTTCGCCCATATCTATAGAAGGCATCTTCAGAGGTTGTGGAAACTAGGCAAGTGAGGTTTATATATCTGTGGAATATCCAGTGTGGGAGAAAGGACTATTGTCTGGGTTGTTGAAGGTTTTCCGGGTTGTACGGCCATGTTCCAGAAGCATTCTCTCCTGACGTTTCGCCTGCATCTATAGAAGGCATCTTAGGAGGTTGTGGAAACTAGACAAGTGAGGTTTATATATCTGTGGAATGTCTAGCGTAGGAGAAAGAACTGTTGTCTTCGTTGTTGTAGGTTTTTCGGGCTGTATAGTCAAGTTCTAGAAGCATTCTCTCCTGACATTTCGCCTGCATCTATGGCAGGCATCTTCAGAGGTTATGAGGTCACTTCACAACCTCTGAGGCTGCCTGCCATAGATGCATGTGAAAAGTCAGAAGAGAATGCTTCTAGAACATGGCCATACAGCTCAAAAAACCTTCAACAACCTAGTGATTCCGGCCATGAAAGCCTTTGACAATAAGTGGAACTCTTATCTGCTTGATGTTTTGTCCGCATATATGATGGGTATCCACAGAGGTCAGTTTCCAACAGACCTCACAACCTCTGAGGATGCCTGCCTTAGATGTGGGTGGAACGTCAGGAGAGAATGTTTCTGGAACATGGTCACACAGCCCTGAAAACACACAGCAACCCAGAGAGAATATGATTTGAACCCCTTTCTTTCTTAATTTGAACCAAATTCTCCTTTGGATTGTAGCCTTCACCTTGCTAGTTGGGTGTCTGTGTCTTCAAATATCCCACTTCCTTGAATTTTATAGGGTCTTCTTAGAGAAGGAATACTCAGAAGTGGTTTTGTCAATTCTTTCCCCTGTCTTGTACTTTTTGTTTTCGGTCTCCCATCCAAGAACAAACCAGAGCTGTCCCTGCTTAGCTTCCAAGCTCCAAGGGACATATCTCTATGAATTTGATTGGGATTCCATAGGAAAGGAACACTCAGAGGTGTTTTGCCAATTCCTTTTCTCTGTGCTCATCAAATACTGAGCCTGTATACCAGTGTTTCTCAACTTTCCTAATGCCCTGACCTCTTTATACGGTTCCTTATGTTGTGGTGGCCCCCAAACATAACATCATTTTCATTGCTACTTCATAACGGTAATTTTGCTACTGTTATGAATCATAATGTAAATGTCCAATACGCAGAATGTATTTTCATTCACTGGATCAAATTTGGCACAAATACTCAATACACCCAAATTTGAATACCTGTGGGGTTGGGAGAGGAGACTGATTTTGTCATTTGGGAGTTGTAGTTGCTGGGATTTATAGTTCACCTACAATCAAAGGGCATTTTAAATTCTGTCAATGATGGAATTGAACCAAACTTGGCACAGAGAACTCCCATGACCAACAGAAAATACTGGAAGGGTTTGGTGGGCATTGATCTTGCGTTTTGGAGTTGTAGTTCACCTAAATCCAGATGATGGCTCTGGACCAAACTTGGCACGAATACTCAATATGCCTACATGTGAACACTGGTCGAGTTTGGGGAAAACAGACCTTCACATTTGGGAGTTGTAGTTGCTGGAATTTATAGTTCACCTACAATCAAACAGCATTCTGAATCCCACCAACAATAGAATTGGGCCAAATCCCACACAGAATCCCCACATGACCAACAGAAATACTGTGTTTTCTGATGGTCTTTACCCCTCAGCCACTCACCCACTCAGCCAGGCCTCTTTGGGCAGGTAAGTCAGGCCTCTAGGCCTGTGCGGTTTCGTTCGTTAATTTCTTTATTCGTAAAACATTCGTTATTTTTGGCATTTCCGAAGCGATATTGAAACACTTTTTCAAACCCGGAAGGGTTTAAAAATAACGAGGCGGCAACCCCATAGTTTTTACGAGCTTCCGCCCGTTTCGTTAATGGGGTGCAGGCTGCTGGTGGCTGGGAGCCAATCCGGCGCTCCCAAGCACCCAAGCAGTGCAGCGTGGCTGTTTCCTATTGGCCGGGAAGGCCTTTAAAAGCGGCTCCGCGTGGCCGCAGAGCTCATTTGCGCGGAGGCGAGGGAGGAGGAGAGAGGTCCGGGACGGGAGGGCTGCTGCTTGCTTTGGCTTGGCTTGCTTTGGGTTGGCTTAGAGTCTGACTGTGACTTGCATTGGAAAAAAGACTCTTCTTTGTTGGAAGACTCTTCTGTTGGTGTTGCTCTCGACTGCCCTGACTTTTGGCAGTGTTAGCTGTTCATCAGGGCCATTCATTTTTGGGTTGATTTTCCATTTTTGAATATTTTTAAAAAATACCTGCCTTTTATTCTTAAAAAAAACCAAAAATATTCCAAAAAAAGAAAATACTCTTCTGTTGGTGTGTGCTCTCACTTGCTCTGTCTCGTGGCTGTGTTTAGTCCACATCAGGGCCAGTTTTTGGTTCAGTTTCCATTTTTGAATATTTTTAAAAATACCTGTCTTTTATTCTTTAAAAAAATACAAAAAATATTCTAAAAAAAGAGAAGACTCTTCTGTTGGTGTTGCTCTCGACTGCCCTGTCTTTTGGCTGTGTTAGCTGTTCATCAGGGCCAGTTTTGGGTTGATTTTCCATTTTTGAATATTTTCTAAAAATACCTGCCTTTTATTGTTAAAAAAAACCAAAAATATTCCAAAAAAAGAAAATACTCTTCTGTTGCTGTGTGCTCTCACTTGCTCTGTCTCCTGCCTGTGTTTGGTCCACATCAGGGCCAGTTTTTGGTTAAGTTTCCATTTTTGAATATTTTCTAAAAATACCTGCCTTTTATTCTTAAAAAAAAACCAAAAATATTCCAAAAAAAGAAAATACTCTTCTGTTGCTGTGTGCTCTCACTTGCTCTGTCTCGTGGCTGTGTTAGCTGTTCATCAGGGCCATTTTTGGGTTGAGTTTCCATTTTTGAATATTTTCTAAAAATACCTGCCTTTTATTCTTAAAAAAACCAAAAATATTCCAAAAAAAGAAAATACTCTTCTGTTGGTGTGTGCTCTCACTTGCTCTGTCTCGTGGCTGTGTTAGCTGTTCATCAGGGCCAGTTTTGGGTTAATTTTCCATTTTTGAATATTTTCTAAAAATACCTGTCTTTTATTGTTAAAAAAATACAAAATATTCGCTTTAACGAATCGATTCGTTATTATTTCAATATCGAATCGAATCGTATTTAATAACGACGTTTCGGAAGCCGCTTTTGCGCATGCGCGATCGCGTCCCCCATTTTAACGAATCGATTCGTTATAACCTTAACGAACCGACCCCGCGCCAATAACGAAGCTTCGGAAGTGTTTTTGCGCATGCGCGGGGGTCCGCCATCTTTACAAAATGTTTTGTAAATATTTACGAAATTTCGTAAATAACAAAACTTTTTTTTGGAAAGTTTTGTAAATATTTTAAATATCGAAACAAAAAAACACCCCAATTACAAATCGATTTTAGAAACAAATTTTTTCTTGATCAAACAGGCCTACTGCTGTATACCTTGGATTCTGTAGTGGCCAGGAGTATATTTGCACATTCAAACTAATGTGTCAGATGTGCCTGTCCAGGGAAATTTCCGATCTAGTCATGTATTGATGGGCTGCAGTTATCACAGCGGGTTAAAACCACCAGCTACAGAAGGTTGGCAGTTCAAGCTGCAGGTTGGGGTGAGCTCCTGCCATCAGCCCTAGCTTCTGTTTACCTAGCAGTTTGAAAACAGCAATGTGAATGGATAAATAGGTACTGCTGTGGCAGGGATGTAAAAGCCACCCCTGAAGACATGCTGTCAATTCATTCTAGAAGATGTCCATGGACAACAGGCTTCTTGCCATGGAAAAATAGAACAACAGCACCTCCCCATGGCTGGGTCAATCACAGCCTCCAGATGCCAGAAATGAAAAAGAGTGAAGCTTTGCCTCTGTCTTTGTATTGTCTGTCTTTGTCAATTGTATAACAGCATTGAATGTTTGCCAGGTATATGCTCTGTAATCCACTCTGAGTCCCCTCGAGGGGATAGAGCGGAATATATATAAAAAGATGATGATGAAGATGATGATGATTGTCAGTCATTCTCCCCTCCAAGTCTCAGCCAGAGCTGGCCCTGTTTAGTTTCACAAATCAGAGGAATGTGGTGTGTTCAGGTGATACCCATGCTAGTTATCTAGATTTTGTTGCTAATATACTTGCATAGAATGCCTGCTTTTTCTTCCTTCTGAATGACATGCATTGATACGATGTCTGTAAGCATAAGAAGTGAAGATGCAGCTAGAGCAGGCGACCCCTTTCTGCCCTGTGGCAGGTGAGAGGTTTTTCTCTTCTCCCCTCCTGTCTGGCACTGGCTTTCTCACAGAGACATTAGGAGAGGATTCTTAAATGTCTGTTCCTTACAAATGCCAAAGAATGAACCTGGGAACTTCTGCTTGAGCAGGAAAAACAAAGCGAGTTAAAAAACCACTCCCTGTTAAGGTTAATCTCCTGTGCCCTTTTAAAAAAGTGGGATCATGTCCCATGGAGTCTATCTATTTAAGGTTTGGAGTTGGAGTACAGTTTTGCAGATCAAGATTGGAATCACTGCTCAGGAATGGAAATCTAGGGGGTGACCCTGGGCAAATCACATTCTCTCAGCCTCAGAGGGGGAGGCAAAGGGAACCTCCCTCCCCAAACAAATCTTACCAAGAGGATCTGATGGTATGTTTGCCCTTAAGGTTGTTTACAAGTTGGAAATGATTCTAAGGCATAGAACAACAACAGCAGAAACCAAAAATGGCACTCCAGATAGCTCAAGGGAATACAATTTGAATAAAAGCAAATATGGTTAAGTTGAAAGACAGATGAACAGTGCAGTTTATAACATCAATAA